TCTCTCTCTCTCTCTCTCTCTCTCTCTCTCTCTCTCGATTCAGCAAAACAGAATTGCATTCATCTTTCATTCTCTCTTTTGGATATTGTATTCACTTTTGTATAAATTCTACTTTTTATGCATAGTTTGCATCCATTTATTCATTCATTCATTCAATGAAAGGCTTGTGTTTCGTATGCTTTGCATTAAAACTATAATATCAAAGAAAAACACATTGAATTTATTTTTATTTAATTTTATGAATACTATTATTACATAAGAGCAGTATATTTCAATAGTTGTGAGATTATCCCATGAAGTGGATTATAAATGATTAACTCACAAAATGCACCATAGTCATTTAAGCGTACAATTCAACTACATTATATTTTTGATATGGTTAATTTACATTGAAATATTTTTTATATAAAATTTATAATTTTAATTTAAAGACAATATAATAATAAGTTATATCATTAATAATGATTAATTACACAGAAATGCATAATTAAAATACAGTGATTATACATAAATCGTATTCCTGTGGTATAACATGTGATAAAAATTCATACATTTTTTGTGTTATTTTACGGAAATTTTTAGATGTGGCCGAAAACAGTGAAACCGGATTTAACACATTTGTGTTGATTTCCTATTTGTTATATAATTTATATGTAATCACTTCACGTCTCTCTTCATATGCAATACGTGAGCCTTTTTTATCGAGAAATATATTTTAATCTATTATTCATAACTGAGAGTAATGTATGAAATAAAACAAACCATCATTTAGTTAATGGTTTTTAAGGGTTTTTCATCAAATCATATAATAATGCCTTTAATGATAGAGATTTACCAGAATTATTAACTACTGGTTTTGAGTATTAGATCCTAAAGTTTAATAGTGTAAATATTCATTTGATTTTATTAAAAATGATTTTTCCATGTGTTTAAAAATTTATCACAATTAATTTAATGAATATTACTTAATTATTATGAAATTTAATTTATTTAATAACTTACAAACTATTTCTTACCGTTTGATTCAATGGATTTAGCGGACATAGAGTTCAAGAATATTTATAAGGAGAGAGAGAGAGAGAGAGAGAGCTAAAAATTCTTACTGTATATCAATGTTGTGTTAGGAATCGATTTTTATAAAAACCGTATAAAAAATACTAATATTTACATAAATATATTATATGTTAAAACATATGTACAATTAATGAATTAGATTTTGCATCGAAAACATGGTGTTTAATACACGACAATCGAAATGACAAAATTTTAGCACTGATTTAATTGTTTGGCTTTGATTTAACATAAATATAAGATTAAAAGGTTTTTGTTAGTTAGTGTTTAATTCATTAGCGAGTAGTTCCCACCCAATAGGTCTGAGAATATGGTTACGATTGGTGTACAATATTTGCTTCAGATGTGTCTCTATTGGCTCTCCAGTCGATACAGCGCTTGAATGCAAGCCTTTGCTGAATGCGCTCCGACTTTACGGCATAGACCTAACTGTGCTTCACATTCGTGTATATATTCTGTGATCGATATTGTGATCGCAATTTCTAGTCAACACTATTTTCTAGATATATATAATACTTATATATACACACATATATATAAAGTGGTAACTCATATCATATATACATCTCATCCGCGACTAACTCATCCATGCCTTCATAGAGGATAGAATACACTGTATTTTTCAATGCGTTCGCCGTTTTCTCGCCTCTAATAATATCTATTTTGAAGCGTTAATTGTCGGCATTTGTATCGTTTCGTAATTCTCCTCTCATCTAATTATTTTTGTCTTCCGTTTTTTAACCGACAGTTTTTTTCTTCAAAAATTTTTGTTAAACTTTATACAAGTGTCGACCACTTTCTGGGCTCTTATTCTTCCATTATCTCGACCTTAGATTGTTTTCCTTCATTTAAAATAATTGTATAATTGTTTCAAAGTTTTCTCAATAACTAATACTTTTTCAACTTTTTTGTTTGTGTGAAAACTTTTGATTTTCAGAAGACTTATTTGTCTCTGAAATCTATTTAACTATTTTGTGTGACTTTCAAGTGATTTGAAGTCAAATATTATAATTGACTTTTAAAGCCAGCGTTTTATATGCAAACAGTTTTTAAATCGGAAACTACTGGTGACCAGCATTTGGCCACCAATTCATTCATATCTGACTCGTTATACAATCCATCAAAAAACTTGTCCACAATGTTATTCACCGGTAATTTATTTATAAAAGACATTATTTATAGACTTTCGCTATAATTTTAATTATAATTTTTACTAATTTTAACCAATATTTCAATGATTTTATAAACTTGTTTTTCTCCCAAACAGAGACATCATATAAGGGCGCGTGGGGTTCGCCATCGCCTTCTCCAAGTCAAGGTTTGTTTGCATTTTATTATAATTATTACATTTATTTGTCGTGTTTTTATATTCTTTGTGTTAAAAAGCCATTTGTTTCGATAATTTTTATACGAAAATGTTAACTAAAAATAGTGTTTTATAATCGAAAACCTATTGTATAGCGAAAGCAAATGCGAGCAAATCGTAGATCACAACTAATTTTGAGCGCAAATCCAATTTGCGATTTGGACTCAAATATATATTGAATATACAAATGAATTGTTGGTTTGTATTGAAAGAATGAGTTTATTGTAGAATTGCATTTGAAAGCATTGAAATTGCGAACAGCGAGAGAGAGAGAGAGAGAGAGAGAGAAGAGAGAGAGAGATTTCTCATACAATGCCTTATATTGTTATATTCGGTGCGAAAATCTAATTAAAAGTCATGAAAAATAACAATTTATACATAAGACAAGCGCTATTCAGATGTTATTTTAGCGTTAAATAATCAATTTTTATTTCACTCAAATTGTCCTCAGATTATCAGAAAGAAATATATTTTAATCAAGTTTTATTGTAAAAAAATTGACAAAATATTTTTAAATTCAATTTTCAGAATAAATTAAAATTTTCAAATGACATCCAAATCTAGTAGTTTGACAAATAAAATTTTTATTTACATTTATTTAGTTTTATATATTATATTATAATAGTTATGTTTATAGACAAGTTGTTTAAAAATCACGCAATAAGTTAACATTCAATGAATACAAAATGCAAAATATTTAATGCATTTTATTCTCACACTCTATTACAATAGCATATAAATTACATATCATTGCAATACAATGAGGGCTCAGGTGTTCAGTTAAATAAATAGTTTTAACCCCTGGTCCTCAATGCCTGACAATACTATTTATATATTTCCCATAGTTATGGTCCATAACTTTTCGTGAGAATCTCATTCACCACTATTTGATTCGTAAACTAATTGCTAAAAAACATATTCAAAGCGCCGATAGTTTATAATAGTCTCAACAAATTAGACAAATGAATGCAACTATGGTTAGTGCCGTCCATCCAAACAATCTCTCACTAATTTTTCTCAACAATCAATTTTGTTGACTTTTCAACTTAACATTTGACACACCCAACAACCCAACAGTCTAGTTAAACCCCCTCTTATAGCCCCCATTAAATATTATTCAGTAATAGTAAAAAACTATATCAATTTGTTTGACTGTTGCATAGCGTCTAATAAATGAGCTCTAAAAACAAGACTAATATATCGTGTCATTAATGCTTGTATTCAGTATTCAGTCTTACAATTCTTTGACATCTATTCTCTTCGCCAGAAAGTGAGTGCAAAATGTGTTTTTTGTTTGACAACCAGTCGGTTAACACGCGATACAGACATACATACAGTTTAGTAGAGTGTACCGAACGTTATATGTATGCCATGAGCCCCGTTAGGCTACCCGTGTGTCGGCAACTCAGGTGACAAATTGAGTGCCTTGTGCTCTGACAAACACCCCATTCTCGTGGGCGGTAGGACTCAATGCTCTCTACGCTTGCATTCATTTATTATAATAGTTGTATGCATTTTGTCCCCACTTCTCTCTCTCTCTCTCTCTCTCTCTCTCTCTCTCTCTCTCTCTCTCTCTC